GTAGTTTTCGTAGTTTTCTTTTCTTTGCTTAATAAATGCAATACATTGTGATTAATTAACATTAACTATAGAAAATATAGAAAATAAAATGTAGTTTTCTTTTCTTTGCTTAATAAATGCAATACATTGTGATTAATCTATGCTTGATTAAATATATTTTAATTAGAAAATAAAATGTAGTTTTCTTTTCTTTGCTTAATAAATGCAATACATTGTGATTAATTAACATTAACTATGCTTGAAACAGAAAATATAAGTCTTAAATATGCTGGTTTTATTTGAAAAGCATTCGGTTAGTTAATGAAATGAATTGTAATGCCTTTTAGTGCTTTTATTGTGACTTAATACTTTTTAGGTTCCAGTTGACCCAGAGGTGGCCAAACACGCCACCTTGTTCCACCAAGTATCGCTGGCTCTAGTGTCCTGGCTGCTGCCTGGCAGTGAATATCAGGCACATGAACTCATGTCTTTCGTGACCTTCAGTCACAGCCTCCTTCCGTAAGTCTCTGATGTTTGCCGTAAAGCTCTCGTTTGTCTCATATATTGTATGATTACAGTGACTTCAGTCACACAAAATAATCACATTTTGTTATATAGTGGCTCCAGACACATAAGCTAGACCAGGGGTGTCCAAACTCGGTCCTGGAGGACCAGTGTCCTGAAGAGTTTAGCTCCAACCCCAATTAAACACACCTGAACTAGCTAATCAAGCTCTTACTAGGCATACTAGAAACTTAAAGGCAGGTGTGTTGAGGCAAGTTGGAGCTAAACTCTGCAGGACACCGGCCCTCCAGGACCGAGTTTGGGCAGCCCTGAGCTAGACGTTATACATCAACTTGACATCAGTTGTTTAAACGGAAATGAAAAAAAAAAACTTTTGGAAAGGGCATAATTTGTTAGCAGATGCTTCCTTTTTTTCAAATCTTTTTTGAGCCACTTTCATATTTTATCATAATTTAATAACTTATGTTAATTGTCATTACAAATGCCACAGTTCTTTGATTTTCAATTATTTGATGTAAGAAAAAAAAGGCAAATTTCATTTTGTTTAACCTTAACTAATAGTAAGAGATTAAGTGCCTTTAGATCAGAGGGTCTCTATGAGGCAATTTAATTTAATAGATCTCATTTTAATATGATTGTTAATGTATTTTATGTTGCTTTGATGTACAATGGTTAAAAGTATTAATATTCTTGGACCTCTTCAGACATGTGCTATGAGGACATGTCTTGTTAACTGCACAGGGATAAAAGCTGAAACTCATTGGGAGAGATTAATTACAATAAGTGTCTCCTGTCTAAAATCTGCTCAGGTCTTGGCTGGGTATTTAGATTTGATCTCATATTATTGTGTTCATCATATTCTGATTGTATACTCATTTTGTTCAGATGTTGACTTCCAGATGTTCTTCTCATTTTAAATGAGAGTATCAAACATGCTTTAAATGCATTTATGGTTAATTTTTAATTGATTCAGTGTAAAAAAAAAAAAAGAAAAGAAAGGAAAAAGTGAACTCTGAAATCCCAGCTTTATCAAGCTGTAGTTTCACATCATACTCACAAGAGAGCAGCAAACTGCACATTTCAGACAGAATGTAGCAGGTCTTTGCATGGACCATTGATTCTGGTTTGTTTCTTTTTTTTAAATATTTAATGGTATTCGTTTGTCATTTTTTAAAATGTATCTATTGTCTGTTTTTTTAAATGCACTCCTTCAGAAGTTGGGGTCAGTAAAGGCAACTCTAATGGTTACAACAGATTTGCATTTCAAATAAATACTGCTCTTTTGATCTTTCTATTGATCAAAAAATATTAAGCAGAACTATTTTCAAAATTAATAATAAGAAATGTTTCTTAAGCATCAAATCAGCATATTACAATGATTTCTGAAGGAAATAAATTTTACCGATCCCAAACTTAGTAGTATATGTTCCAATTATGCACTACAAGGATGTACCTTTATGTTTATGAGAAATATGTTGTTGTCTTGGAAATGAACTGCTGTAATATGACATGGTTTTTTTTTTTTGCTTATTGTTAGGGAGGGCATCTGTGGTGAACCAGAGATGGCTGCATTGGCTGAGCTGCAGCTTAAAGACAGGACTTCACTTGCCGTTGGTGCTCTGCTGCGTGACGCTCTCCATCATTTGCCCTCCATCCGCGGTTGTTACCTCACCCACCTTGCACACATGGAATCCTCTGTCCTTTCGTCTCGTGACCGGTACCTCGGCCGAACGCCTTTTGTCAGCTCTCATCTCCTACCTGAACTTACCGGCCCCTCCCTGCCTTCTGATTGGCCCTTCTTACCGCTCATAAGTCTCTATGAGCGAATGGGGCTGTCAGCTGGTGGTGGGCATCAGGTTGAGTCTCTTCCAGCAGGGTCAGTGCAGTCAGTCACTAACTGCCTTCAATGGCTGCTTGTTCTGGAGAGTTGGCGAGAGCAGGCGCTCACGGCGGTGCCACCAGTGGCAAAGTTAGCCCGGCTAGCCTGTGTCTTTCTGTGCTCCAGTGACCTCTTCCTGGAGCAGCCTGTGCAAGAGCTTACTTGGGCGCTGTTTCGCAGGCTAACACGGCCAGCTCAGCTTGAGGCGCTGGATCTGGGCTCACCTCCACCAGGCTTGGCTTCCTTTCATGACCTATACTCGGCTCTGCTGGCGCAGTATGAGGCGGTGTCATTCGGTGACCCACTCTTTGGCTGCTTCATGCTTTTGCCTCTACAGCGGTGCTACAGTGTCACCATGAGGCTGGCTGTGTTTGGAGAACATGTTGGAATGTTGCGATCGCTGGGGGTCCCGCTACAGCAGGTAAGGGGTGTCTTTTTGTCAGGTGACCTACGCACAGATTAGGCGTAATGGAAACATGACTGTACTTTTGTCTTTGCAATTCTGGGCATCTGGAGCTGTGATCCAATTCATACTGAGATTTCAGCTGTAAAGTGCAGTTCACAACATCAGATGATTTGAGTTGGGAAAGTCTAATTTAGTTTTAAAAAATGGCTTGTTTAGATTCTGCCAAATTTTCTTAATTGCAGGGATGCATGAAATTAGTGTGGTGAATAGTCAGAATTTATTTACTTGTTTTGTTGCCAATATAAAATTAGGCAACATTGTGAATATTGCTAAGAAGATAACCGCGAACGGTTGCTGTTTACGGTGTTTATTACCACGACAACCATCCGAGTTGAACATGCTTCTTGTGTATCCTGCTTGAAGGAGATGAAAATATCATGCATCTGAAGCTGTAATTAAATATTGGGAAACAGTGTGTATTATATGTTTATAATTGTTTTAAATGCCGCTTTCTCATTTATGAGAAGGAACCAAGTAGAGGACACATATGCAGTTACTTTTTTGGTTGATATAATCCTTAGGTGTGTAAATGTATAATTGCCTTTTCATTATTTGTTCAGTTTTATTTCAATTTGTAGTTAAAATAACGAAAAATACATGTATTTTAAAGTTTAGAATTAGACAGCCTATCCACACAGGCTTAAGCCCCGTTCACACCAAGAACGATAACTAAAGATAATAAAGATAACTATATTATATTAGCGTCCACACCAGCGGACGATATCGTCTGTTTTTTCTAAGCGCGCGCTCGTCTGCCGCTTTAAATTCTCCAGCTGTTAATGTTTGTATTGTTCATCAGCTGGAAAAAAATCGTTTTGAAGGTGATTCCAACGATATCGTTTCTCTGTGCCTTCATTGTTATCTCTGTGGTGTGGACTGCTATTCTTTAATACTGAGAACGATTTTTAGAACTATATCTTTATCATTATCTTTATAGTTATCGTTCTTGGTGTGAACGGGCATTTACGCTGGTAACTCATCAGTGGACTTTCCTGGTCAATATAGGCTATATTTTTTCACACTTTTCTCGTTCTCACTAATTCAAGGTTTTATATTAATTAATCTCTGAATGGAGCCAACTCTCTTCAGAAAAGTTTTGATGGCATTTTCATTTTATCTGATAAAGTAGCGTTTATGAGAGGAGCGCTGCTTTGTTTACAGCCGTTACCAGGGAAACCGCAATATTTCTGACGTTCCAAAAGCGCCTCCTGCTGGCAGAGAATGAATGTTCATTTTCAATAATCCAGTCTGTAGTTTTTGTTCAGACCAGTGTGAAAATCCACACACATAACCCTGTTTTAAATTAATATAATAATTTATACTTCTGACTCACCCCTGGTTTAAATGCTCAGTTGTGAGGTTTATCATTTGATCATTTATTTTGTTTTTGTGAAAACCTGTATCTCAACTGTAAATCAGTTGCTATTTTCGTGGTCTACAACATGAAAGAAAGCCATTATAACATGTACATGAAAAATGTAGAAACATTGGACACAACTATAGGGCGCCATTGTGCAGCAGCAAGCATCACAACAAAAAAGGAACCTCAAG